GCTAGGGAGTAGGTGCATGACTATATGGAAATAGTCCTACAGCTGCCTGGGACCCTTCTCATACAAACTTACAGCAATGGTGTCAGTATGCACGAGTCCCATGCAGATTTAAGCAGATAAAAACCCAGCACAGAACTGTGGAAATGAACAGTAAGCCCAAATCTTAGTCGAAAATTATTGGCATCTGATTACTGTTGGGTGGGGAAAAGCAGATCTTCTTGAAGAGAGACACTCTAGATAGGCTGACTAAACCCCGATGGATGGATGAACTTGTACTGAGGGACATCTCAGGACACTAATTTTACATAATAGGCCTTAATACAAATGACAGAATGTATGAACTCCAGTAGGGGGATATGGGAGGGTACCAAAGAGGAAGGGGGGGGAGGAAGGGCTTATAAAGATGATTAAAAAAAAATTTTTTTAGTTATTATTTTTATTTTATGTGTACAAGTGTATTGCCTACATGTATGTGAGTGCACCCATGTTGGGCAATGCTGCAGGGGTCAGAAGAAAGCATCAGATTCCCCTGGAACTGGAGTTAAGGACATTTCTTAGCTGCCATTTGGGTACTGGGAATCAAACTTGGGTCCTCTACAAGAGCAGGGGGAAGTGCAGGAACCAGCAGAGGTCAGAGACATCAGATCCCCCTGGAGCGAGTTATAAGTGACAGTGAGCCACCTAGGAATTGAACTTGGCCTACTGCAAGAGCAGTAAGCACTCTTTATTTATTTTTTTTTATTTTTGGTACTTTTGAGACAGGGTTTTGTAGCCAGCCTCAACTGGCCTGGAACTGGCTATGTAGACCAAGCTAGCCTCAAACTCACAGAGATCTACCTGCCTCTGCCTCCTGAGTGCTGGTATTAAAGGTGTGTACCACCATGCCCGGCCCTAGCAGTAAGCACTCTTATCCACTGAACCATCTCTCTAGCCCTCTTTTAATATTTTAATCAGGACATGTTACCATCAATGTCCCTTTTGTTCTTAAAGTCAGAACTCCTTGACAAAGTTTATGAAACTCTGTATGATCTGTCTTCTGCTCAGACATCTATAGTGATGCTTAAGACTCGTACCATTTATCTTTGCTCTTGCTTTTCCCTTTGCCTACTTCAGGATTTCTCAACCATGGCTCTATTGATGTTTTAGGCTACATATGTCTTCGTCCTGAGGGACTGTCTCCTGCATTGTAACACAGGAGCATCTTTGTCCTCTACATGCTGTATGTCATTTGCATCTCCCAATCTGACAATCAAAAATTATTCTAACACTATGGCTCAGTAGTAGAACTCTTGCCAGCATTCTCGAGGCCCTGAACTCAATCCCTAGAACTGTTAATAGCAATCATCATCATCTCACAGACATGGGTAGCTTGGTTATACAGTATAGGCCCTGCAAGTACAATGTATCCTGGGTTTGCCTCCCAGCACCACAAAAAGTATGTGTGTCTGTGTGCCTGTGTGTTTCTATACCATTGCCAAATGTTGCATGGAGGTTAAACCCATCATCTCTAGTGAAAATACCCATTAGATTTCAATTTACATTCTCAGAAAACCTTCCCTGATTTGATCAAATACTCCTGTACCAGGGACCTCTCTGCATAGCAGCATATGGTATATTCATATACATACCTGCAGTTGTATTATGTTTATTAGTATATGATGACTTTTGGTGGGTTTTTATTTTGTTTTGTTTTTTTAGTATCTCATGTAGCTCAGGTTGGCCTCAAACTTTCTACATAGCTAAAGATAGCCTTGAACTTCTTCCTCCATCTCCTAAGTGCTGGGATTACAGACGTTCCCCACCATGCTCACGGCCTGAATCTATTCCTCAGAACCCACATGGTAGAAGGAAAGATATGACTTGCACAAGTTGTCTTCTGACTTCTATACATGTACATGCACACACCTGTATGGATGCACACATACACAAACACACCCGCTAAATAAAACATAGTAAAAAGATTTTTTTTTTTAGTTGTACGTGATGTAGTGAGTCATTACACTGAACTAGTCAAGTTCCAAGCAGTCTTTTGAAGGATATTTAAAACTATATGCTTACAGCTAAGGGAATGATAAGCTGCCATGGTGGAGAAGAAAAGTCAGGAAAATAAGGTGAGGGAGACAAGCGATTGAGAACCAAGTATGACACAGATGCAGAAATGCCATGATGAACCAAATACATTGTATTCTGACCCAGAAACTAATAAAAATTAATAAACAAGGAAAGGGTTAGCAACAGTTCAAACTTTTAAAAAAAATTATGAAGTATCAAGGCAAGTAAGAATGAAGGGGCTGGAGAGATGGCTCAGCAGTTAAGAGCACTAGCTACTCTTACAGAGGACCTGGATTTGGTTCCCAGTACCCACATGGAGACTAATAACCACCCACATGGAGACTAATAACCATCTGTAACTCCAGTTCCAGGGATCCAATGCCCTCTCTGACATTCACGGGCACTGTACAACATGGGTGCACTTACATGCACGCAGGCAATACACGCATACACATAAAACAAAAACAATAATTTTTTTAAAAGAATGAAAAATGAGTTCCAGGAACTAGCAAAGGCAGAGAGCAGTATCCTGAAAAGAAAACAGGCTTTGTAAAAAGAAATCTAGACGCCAACCAAAATTTTAAATGTTCTATAACCAAATATTCTACAATTTAGTTAAAACATATTCATTATCAATGTACTAACAATGTATAAGCCTGTAGATTTTCTTTTAGGTTTTATTGTTTGGTTTTTGTTGTTTGGGTCTCTCTTGTTTTTAGGTTTTTTTAGACAGGGTCTTTTTAAAAAAATTTTTATTGAGTTTTTGTGTATTTCATACAGAACATCCTATTTAAATTTTTGTTTTTAATTTTTTATTGAATTTTTGTGTATTTCATATATAAAATCATCTTTATAATCATCCCCCCCCGACACATCTGCATACACATAGCTAAAAATAATAAAAACAAATCTTGGCCGGGCATGGTAGAACACACCTTTAATCCCAGCACTCAGGAGGTAAAAGCAGGCAGATCTCTGTGAGTTCAATGCCAGCCTGGTCTACATAGTGAGT